ACCCCCACACACGCTATCACCTCCACACACGCTATCACCCCCACACACGCTATCACCTCGACACACGCTATCACCCCCTCACCCTCACACACACTATCACCCTCACACACACTATCACCCCACACACGCTATCACCCCCACACATGCTATCACCTCCACACACGCTATCACCTCCACACACACTATCACCCCCTCACCCTCACACAATCACCCCCACACACGCTATCACCTCCACACACGCTATCACCTCCACACAATCACCCCCTCACCCTCACACACACTATCACCCCAACACACGCTATCACCCCCTCCTCACGTTATCACCCCCACACATGCTATCACCCAACACACTATCACCTCCACCCCAACACACTACTGCCCCCCCCCACTATCACCCCACACATGCTATCACCCCCACACAATCACCCCCACACACATTATCACCTCCACACATGCTATCACCTCCACACATGCTATCACCCCCACATATGCTATCACCCCTCTCCCCCTCACACGCTGTCACCTCCACACAAGCTATCACTCCTCAACCCCTCACCCACACATATTATCACCCCCTCACCCCCACACACCAGACAGAGCCATCACCCATCCACCACCACCACCTCGCACCAGCACACACTCACGTCCACACCTCTCAGGCCACAAAAACACACCAATCACCACACACACACCACCACCTCAGTCCTGCCCCTCTGGGGTGTCTTCTCCAGGAAAAGGTGGCGAGAAGGCTCGTGGGGGCCCAGGATTCAGACCCTCTCTGCTGTAGGGGCCGCATCTGGGTGTCACATGGCTCCCAGAGCAGAGATGCCCCCTCCTGCCTCCCTGCAGCCCATGTGGCCACATGCTGGGTCCTGGTTGATGGACCAGGGACATCCCAGGCCCCTGCCTGCTGAATGGGCGTGGCTGTGGCTACCCTGGATCCTGTAGACAAGAGCACACCGCAGGGACGGGGATGTGACAGGACAGAAGGAGCCTGGTCCCTAAGCACGTGGGCCAGAGCCACCCCACAGGCTGGACTTGGTGGGAGACAGAGAAGCCAGCCCGAGGTCACTGTGGGTCTTGGTCACACATGTTGAACCCAGAGATTCGTGTCTCCCTTTGGGGAGGGGGGCGGGTGTTCGGCCATCCCCAGCTAAGCTTGGTGGCAGAGGGAAAGCCTCAGCTCACGTGTCAGGGTCAAACGGGTCCCCGTTGACCCAGTGGAATTCGTCCCCCACTCTGCGCAGGCCAATCCAAGGCTCCCTCCGTGTGAACTTGAACATGAACTCCTGCACGAGGAAGGAGGGAAAATTCGGGGTCAGACGCAGCCTCCTGACTGGTCACATCCCAGACGGATCACAGCTCAGGAGAAGATCTTGTCTCCCAAGAGGGACAGGCTCACAGCAGGTCAGGTACCACAGTACCCCAGAAGTGAGGCACTGGGGTTCCAGAAGCCCCTGTGGCCACATGGCCAGAGCTTGGGCTCAGAGTGGCTGGACAACCCCTCACACCACGCCCACTGGGCCAGGCTACTTGGAGCAGAGTGTCCCCGAGCTCAGCAGTCCTGCTCTGCCAGCTTGATGAAGTGCCTGGGACAGACTTCAAATCTGGCTGTCCCTCCACCTACAGAATTCCAGGGCTTTCTCTGCAGACGGGGGATGTGTGCTCAAGAGGATCACACTGTGTAGCAGACAAACAGAAGTGATTTCTAGATTGTGAGTTTGGAGGGCCACCGCTGTTATCCTCAAAGTCCACAGTGGCTCACAGACTCAGTCACAGTGCTTTTGTCGGTGCTTAGCTGCTCACCAAAAGGTTGGAGGTTCGAGTCCACTCAGAGGCACCTCAGAAGAAAGACCTGGAGATCTACTTCTGAAAAATCAGCCATTGAAAACCCTGTGGAGCACAGTTCTACTCTGACATGCATGGGGGCACCATGAGTCAGAGTCGACTGAACGGCAGCCAGTCTGGTCTGGTCTGTTTTCATTTCTGTGGGTAAAACAGCTTTGTACGTTAAATTGAGGAAGAGATCATCTCCTGATGTGGACTAGCAGAAAGTGGGAGAATATTTTTACATTTCACAAGCCGTGGTAATTCTCACACTTTACAACAGGAAGCTGAGCTTAGTGCATGGCCTTGGATTGGCCTGAGTGGTCTTGACAATGGACGTAGGTGCAGGAGCCGGCTCCCTGGGACTCCAGGTGGCCCTGGGACCCTCGTTCATCCCTGGAGTGGCCGTGGGGCCCCAGGGCCACCCCTGCCCCCCAACGCACTCACCAGCTCCTTCTGGCTCTGGATCACAGCCAGCACAGCCTCGTGGGTGTGGCAGGACTGGCGGCCCGTGTTCCAGTCCCTCGGCTCCTCGGAGAAGAAGTAGCATTTCCGCCCGTAGAGCAGCCAGTCCTCTGGGCAGGGCGCTTCGCACTTGATGCAGCCCTTGGAAGCTGAGGGAGAGAGGGGCTCAGTACCCAGCCTGCACCTACTGCCCCGCAGCCTGTGCCCGCAGCCCCACAGCCCACCACCCTCCACACGCCTCCTCTGACAGTCCATTTCTGCAGGGTTTTCTGGAGGGAGCACCTCCGAAAGGCAACCGTGTCTCCCAGCGCCTGGCAACCACTGGGGAACAGGGCGGGAGGGGCGATTTGGGAGGCCGACGAGTGTGCCACCGAACAGATGGTACTAGGCCAGTGACACCTCGAGGGGAAGTGACAGATCAAATCTCCTCCTTGTCCCAATTCCCCAAGGCACAAAACCCCAGATACTCAGATTTGGAAGGGACCTTGGAAGCCTCAGGTCTTCTCTCTGCAGCCCATCTGTAAGCTTTAGGGGGCCACTCTCATTAACCACACCCTCACTAGCTAACAAGGCAGCCCATTCCACCACTGACCTTCTGGAAAGTCCTTCTTGTGAATTCTGGGTCCCAATCTGCCCCCTCCTGTGGTCTAGACCTGCTGGTCCAGGACCTGGTCCTTCTTCTGCCGCCTCCTGCCTGAAGATGGCCACCAGCCTCCCCTCTCCAACTCTCCCGCCGTTCCCTGCAGGTTTGGCTTCCTGCCCTTTCTCCATTCTGCCCAGCTCACTGCAAGCGACCCCCTGGCCACAACTTCCTTTATAACCCCCCTAAAAATGAGTATTGTCTGTGAGTTCTATGTGGCCATTGCAATGAATTATCAAACCCAGTAGAGGAGTAGAGTGTGCTGTGGGAGGGATGGCTGCTGTCAGAATTGGTAAAAAGGTTGGAAAGAGGAGGTATGTCTGACTGGAGTCTTTGTTATTCATAGGAATCAGCCTTGGGCTGATGCTGATGGTGATTCTCCCTTCCCCTTGTGAAGTTAGAGGAGGTCAGATGCTTTCACCACGCCATTTTACAAGGACAGAGCCATTAATAGGGCCTATGGCACCACATCCCTGGAGATCAACAGCCACACTGGTCCCAGTTAATCCAGCAACACTCACGGGGCTACATCTGCTCAGTGAGCTGCAAGCCCATTGAGGAGTATTGACTATGGTGTGGCTACACTTCAGCTACTTTTCCAAAGGACCTCCTAAGGGACTCTGTGCTTAATTGAAATCATAGTATGCTATGTCTACAGCAGTGCATGACCTCCCAACCTAGCAACAGGATAAAAGGAAACTGACTTAATTTGTAGCAATTATTCTTAGCGACTCCAAGCTGACTCAGTGGTCACCACAACCTTTTCTACACACTCATGAACCACCTGCTTATCATGCCTCGTTGACAGGTGAGGATCTGGTGGAACTCACAGTGGCAAGGGGCTTTTTCCTGTTTTGAGTTGCTCACCTCTGGTCCTATGGCACTTCTCAAAAAATGAAAGACAGGGCACCAAAATCTCTGGCAAAGCCTTAGGACCCACAACATACTTTGAATGGAATCCATTAAGAGTGCCCATGTAGCTACTATTGTTCATATATCACCCTGTGGCGTGTACAGCTAACTTTACCCAAAGAATTTGGTCTTTGTCCCTCCTTCCAGGGAGGTAAACTCTAAACCTTTGGAACTTCCCCAGTGACTGGAGTCTTTGTTATTCATGGAGGGCTCCAGATCACATCTGAGGGTTTATGCTAATGAAGCGACTCATGTTGGATGGGGGCTGGCCAGGCCAGAAAGACCCACTGTGCGATGATATCAGCCCATCTCTGGACTGGGTAAGAGGGCTGGAGATGAAGTTCAACCACATGGGCAATGAGTCAATTAATCATGACTACATGAAACTCCAAGAAAAACTGTGGACACTGAGGCTCAGGTGAGCTTCCCGGTAAGTGAAAGATGTCAACACACTAGGGTTACATAGCGCTTGGGACACAGAAGTGTCCTTGTTGGAGACCCTCCCAGACCTCACCCTATGTGTCTCTTCGTTTGTATCCTTTTTGTTCTAATAAAACTGTGATCATAATTCTGTCATTCTAGTGAACTATTGAAACTGATAGGGTAATGGCAAGCCCCGAATTGGTAGCTAGCAGGTCAAAAGTGAGGGGGCCCTGGCGACCGCCAATCTTACAGCTGGTGTGTTAAGTTTTGGAAAGACTAGGCTTCTGGAGGACTATGCTCTTTAACTTTTGAGAGCTGACCTAGGTCTGGGTGGTTAAGGTCAGAGGAAGAGCTGCATTTGCAGTTGGTGTGAGAAAGGAGTTGGTGTGGGAAGACACAGACACTGTACTCCCCTATCGTTAAGTGGAGTTTTCTCCTTTTTTATGGTTCTGCCCTCTCAGTTCCACGCACAACTCCATGTCTCGCATGCGTCCCCCACTGGAGTGCACTGTTGCTTCTACCTCCTTGTGTCTGGGACTCGTTTCCATCCCTCTGGGTTCAGCACAGTGCTCCCCTTCTAGGGAGTCCCCAGGCAGTAATATCTCAATGACTGAACTTACCCTTGACAGGAGAGATGATGTCACATTCATCTTTTTATCCCTAGCACTTAGCCCAGGGCCCAACATGAAGCTGGGCTCAAAACATACTTGTTGATCAAAAAGGGGGTATGTGGAACTGAATTTCAAATTCTCATAGAATCTAGACTTTATGAAGTCATTGAATCTGGATGACCACTCCCCAAAAACTATTTTCATAAGGAAATCTTTAAACCTCAGACCAAAACTATCCTCTGAACCCACTGCTGTCGAGTCAATTCTGACTAATAGCAACCCTACAGGACAGAGTAGAACTGCCCCATAGGGTTTCCAAGGAGTGGCTGGTAGATTCTAACTGCCAACTTTTTGGTTAGCAGCTGAGATCTTAACCACTGTGCCACCAGGGCATCTTTAAACCAAACAATAGTTTAGCTTAACTAGAAAAGAATGTCTGCCTTGAGCATTATGTTTTTAAAAAAAATTATCTGTATGCAATCAAATTGAGAACAGCTACTTGAAAGGTTAGATGAGAAGCTTAGGGGGCAGCGAGTTTGTGTTAATGACAGTGAAATAATCTGGAAAAGGATATTAAGAAAGGTGGCACAATTTGAAGAATGTAATCAATGTCACTGAATTATACATGTAGAAATTGTTGAATTGGTGTGTTTTGTTGTGTGTATTTTCACCAGAAGAAAAAAGACTTGTTGAATGAATAAATGGGCTCTTTAAAGGCCCTTATCCCCAAGTCATCCCCTCCAATAAGCACTGCCTGCCCAGTCCACCCAGTCTGTTCTGAGTCCCTGCAGAACCTCTGCAATGGTACATAGGAGACATCCTCCACTTTACCAGAATTTACCTGCATGGTTTAGTAAGGCGGCTTATCTAGTTCATGTGTGTGTATTACTTCTGGAGTAAAATCTCATCTGGACCCAATACTGTGTTTTCTATTTACTCTGTTCCCCATGGAATTCTTAGCATGTCTGGACCCTTCCTTCTCCACTGGCCAGCCTTCTGAGAGGCGTGCGGGCAATGGGCTGCCCAAATGCCCCAACACCCACACTCACCCAAGATGCTCATCACCACCAGAATGGCGAACAGCAGCACTGCAATCGACCCCAGCAGGAGACGCGTGGTGGTGTCTGAGGAGAAAAGAGAAGGCTTCGATGCCAGCCACCCTCCATGCCAACCCACCCCACCAACCTCTACCCCCATGCCAAGCCCCACCCGGGCCAAGAACTCATTGTGGAGATGCCTAGGTTCTTTTCTTCCTTCTTCTCTAACTCAGGAGAGGAGCCCTAGTTGTGGGAGCAGGATGGCCATTACTGGTGCCCATCCTCCTCCTCCTCCTCCATCCCCACCCCCAGGCCCTGCGAAGAGGTGTGTGTAAATGGTGGGGAGACCCTCACACCAGTGCCCGCAGCTTCTCCGTGCTCAGTTCCACCCTCTCCTCAGCCCCCCTCAGTGAGGTCTGACCCTACCTAGGAGCCGTTTGGACCAAGGCCTTCCCGGTCACAGAGAGACACCCCTTTGTCAAGCTCCAACGCGTCCCAGCAGAACAGGAAACTCACTTTTCTTTTCTTCAAACCCCCTAATACAGTTTTGCTAATTCCTGGAACTCTGGAGTCTGGGCCAACATTTACCTTAACTCCCATGGAAAGGAATTCACCACAGAATTAATGGTAGGAATGAAACAACACGGGCAATATTTAGCTCACTTAAGAGCCTTTCAAAGGCTTTCAAGAGTACTTGTTTACCTTCGAATAATGCACTAAATACAAATGTTTCTTTTCTTATCAGAGATTCTTATTCTATTACTGTCTGAACTTAACTGAGAACACCATAACCAAAACCAAAAACCAACCCCACTGCCGTCCAGTTGATTCCGACTCATAGCGACCCTATAGGACAGAGCAGAACTGCCCTGTAGAGTTTCCAAGAAGCGGCTGGTGGATTTGAACTGCCAACTTTTTGGTTAGCAGCCAAGCTCTTAACCACTGCACAACCAGGGCTCTGAGAACACCATAACTAAGTGCTTAATAAATTATCCTATTTCCTCCTTTCCCCCAGTCCCCACTGTTGTCAAGTGTTGCGTTACCTACATCAGGAATGTCTCTCCTTTCCATTGCAACCATCTGGAAACCTAGGCCTAATCACGTGCAAAAGCCTCCTGGTTTTCCCTTCTCCCTCTCCCTGTTCTGGATCATTCCACACAGGGGGGCCAGAAGCTAGGCCAGTGGCTCTCAAGGTGGTCTGTAGCAGCAGCATCACCTGGAAACTTGTTAGAAACGCAAATGGGCTGCCCACCCTAGACCAACTGAATGGAAACTCCAGGGGTGACGCCCAGCAATCTGAGTTTCAACAAGCTCTCTTGGTGGTCCTGAGTTTGAGACTCTATGACAGCAGGAGAACCGGCTTCGATTCCAGCCAGTGCACCTCATGCACAGCAACCACCCATCTGTCAGCGGAGGCTTGCGTGTTGCTGTGATGCTGAACAGGTTTCAGCGAAGCGTCCACACCATGACAGACTAGGAAGAAAGGCGTGGTGATTTACTTCAAAAAATCAGCTGGTGAAAACCCTGTGGAGCCCAACAGTCTGATCTGCAACTGATCCTGGGAATGGCTCAGGACTGGGCAGCCTTTTGTTCTGTTGTACATGGGATCGCCATTAGTTGGGGCCAACAACAATGTTGACGAGCACAGTATTGAGTCTGTGATTCCTCTGCTTGAAACCCATCCTCCATGGCTACCCACTGCCCACCAAACCATGTCTCACCTCCCTCTGTGACTTTCTGAGTTCTCCAATCTTTAATTTCCTGCTGTTCTCTACCTGGCCCCCAAGGTTCAGCCAATGAGCTCCTTGAAGTCACGAATTATCCAGCCCTCACAGCCTGTGGCTGGGTCTTTACTCCCAATGTCCTTCTCCTCCAACACCACCTCTTGAAATCCTGCCCACCTCACACGCCATCCATCCTCTCCCTGAAACTGTTCCTGATCCCCAGCGTGTTCGTGTCCTGGGGCTGCCGTAACAAAATACCACAAATGAGGCAGCTCAGACAACAGAAATTTATTCTCTCACAGTTCTGGAGGTCAGAAGTCTGGAATTAGGGTGTCAGTAGGGTCATGTTCTCTGAAGGCTCTAGTGGAAGGTCATGTCTTGTCTCTTCCAACCTCTGGTGGCCCCAGGCATTCCTTGGCTTGTAGCAGCATCACTCCAATCTCTGCCTCCATCTTCATGTGGCCATCTGCCCTCTGTGCCTCTTCTTATAAGGAAACCAGTCATATTGATTAGGGCCCCCCAAATTCATGTCAACTTAACCTATAACACCTTCAAAGACCCCATCTCCAAACAAGGTCATGTTCACAGGTACCAGGGGTTAGGACTTAAACATACCTTTTAGGGGGACATAAATTAACTCATACTACCTGGGATCCTCTTTTTTAATTTTTAAGTCTTTTTTTTTCTTTTTAATATCAAAGTTATGTCTGAGTATAGTTGAAAGCAATGCACCCACAGACCAGTGCTGATCCATAAACTCTTTGTTGCTGATCCATGATGAGATAAATACGGAAATTGGGGGCAGTATTTAGAAACTCATAGTAAATCAACATTGCAGTGACATCCAAGTGCTTGATCATATTCCTAGTAGTTTACTTGTGTTGTATTTTACAAAAATATCCATCTGCAAAGGATTGGCAAAAGAAACTGATCCTTTTTCATCAAGGATAACCCGTCGATTCCGACTCATAGTGACCCTGTAGGGCAGACTAGAACTGTCCCATAGGGATTCCAAGGCTGTAATCTTTATGGAAACAGACTGCCACATCTTTCTCCTGTGGAATCGCTGGTGGGTTCAAATAGCTGACCTTTCAGTTAGCAGCTGAGCACTTAACCACTGTGCCAAGGCTCCTTTCATCAAGAATAAACCAAAAAAACCAAACCCACTCCCATCAAGTCAATTCCAACTCATAGCTACTCTGTAGGACAAAGTAGAAATGCCCCATAGGGTTTCCAAGGCTGGAACTTTACGGAAGCAGACAGCCACATCTTTCTCCCGTGGAGCAGCTGGTGGATTCGAACTGCCGACCTTTAGGTTAAAGGTTAGCAGCCGAGTGCTTTCACCACTGTGCCACCAGAGCTCCTTCATCAAGAATAATCTCCAAATCTCTAAATGCCATGTGTATGTCAATACTTCTTGACTTTTCCGTTTTGTGTATCATTTGCTGATTCACCACACTGATGGTGATTTCCACCTCTCTGCATTCCATCCTTCCCTGATTACTGACCCACCTCCTGCCCTTCCAATGCAGACACAGGGCCATGTGGGTTAGAGCAGTAATTTAGTGCTATGTTCTATGATAATGTGAATGATACTCCCCACAAAACCGTGACTCATATTATGATTATTTCTTTCCTACACAACTTCTCCTTTCCTGTAGTTAATCATGGTCTTTAGCTGCTTAGTCTTCTATGTGCCAATCATTATTTCCATCCCAAATCTCCCCCAAGATGATGGGACTAAATCAAGAATTCCAGTTCACCTTCTTTAAGAGGTGTCCCTGGACCCATCTGACCTACTCCACTCCGGACTGGTTGCCTCCCTGCACCATTAGCTGGAGGATCTGCTCTGCCTCTCTCCTGTTCCTTCTAGCCTACATCTTTCTCCTTCTTGGTTTACTTCCTCGACTTTCTGCAGCACATCTTCCACGGACTGCCTGAGAAAGAGCATAGCAGAACCACTGCCCTGCACAACTCCAGCGGGCAGGCTCTCACATTGCGTACTATGGCAAGTGGCACCTCCTGGAGCAGAAAGAATACAATGTGAATGGTGCCCCCTGGAGTTGTGTGACTTGGAGGTTTGAGTACTACAGGTTGGATAGAATTCTCCTTCAGAATAGTTAAGGCATAACTCTATTCTCTTCTAGTTCCTAGTGTTTGTTTTTGAAAAGTCTCAAGTCATTCTCATGCATGATCCTTTTAATATGAACTGCTTAATATTTTTTTCTCTCTAGAAACTTCTAGAATGTTTTATCACCCAGTATTCTAAAATTTCGTCATGCCATGCCTTGGTTTGGGTCTCTTTTTATCCACTATATTAGGAAATCAATTAAAAAAAAAAAATCAAACCCTTTGCTGCTGAGTTGATTACAATTCATAGCAACCCTACAGGACAGAGTAGAACTGCCTCATAGGGTTTCCAAGGAGCTGCTGGTAGATTCAAACTGCTGATCTTTTAGTTAGCAGCTGAGCTTTTAACCACTGCACTACCAGGGCTCCAGGCAATCAATTGGCCCTTTCAATCTTGAAATTCATGTCCTTCAGTTCCAGGAAATTTTCTTTAATTATATCATTGATGATTTCCTCTCCTCCATTTTCTCTGTTCTTTTTATGGAGATCATATTCTTCAAATGTTGAACCTCTTGAATTGGTCCTACAATTTTCTCTCTTTTAAATTCACTATCTCTTCACCTTTTTGTTCTATTTCCTGTAAGATTTTCCCAACTTTATCTTCTTAACCTTCTAACAAGTTTTTCATTTTTGCTAGTTTTTAATTTCCAAGGATTTTTATTGTTTTTGTTGTTGCTGTTCTCTGAATATCCCCGCCTTTTAAAGCATCCCATCCTATTCTTGTTTTAATGATGAAATACCCTCTCTCATCTGTCTGAAGATATCACTCCCAGGGTGTTTTAGGGGCAAAGGGCGGGCAGACATTTTTTTCTTCCAAGTTGCTTTATTCTGTTCTTTTGTTTTGGTCTCTAGCTTCCATGTGAGAGGCTCTCCTCACATGTCTGGTGACCCGTAGCTATTTGTTCATGATTAAGGTGGGGGACTAAAGAGTTCATTGGAGCCTCTGAGCCCATGGATAGGACTCACTAACTGTGCAGTTCATGGTAGAGTGACCTGGCTGGGATGATCCTTGGGGATCCCAAATGTTAATCTCCTTAGGTCTGTCCTCTTGGGCCAGTCAGAGTCCCTGGAGAAGGATCTTCCACTCTCCCTCCTGGAAGGGAAGGAAAAGAGCTGGGGGAAGAGGACCGGGACTGTCCTCAGTATTCAATATGTAAATATTGATTTAAATACTCTCAATCTCAAAGGTGCTGGTGTCTAGAGGCCCTCTCTCGAGAGACTTGACCTCAAGTT